TCCCAAAGATAGAACATGGCACATCAAGAGCGTCTGCCAAGTATATAGTTGGATCATGCATGCGTCGCCCCAAATACCTTGTTTCTTTTTGATATGTCCCCCAAACCACTTGCTTGGGAACACATCGTGACGGGCCTCAGCGGTTTTTGTTGAACCATGTACCACAACACGATTATCGAAGCAAATCATATGTAGATCCACATAAGGCTCAGGCCCAACACGATATGTCCCAAGCAGACTATTCAGGTACATATCAAACCATATTTGGGTCCACGTTCTATCAGAGGGAATCCTGCAATCCTCGCTTTGGGGTCCCAGTGTGCTGCCGCCAGCAGAAGGACGTGGGTGAGACTCCAGGGCTCAGCTTCAGACGAGGCGCGTGCGCCGACAGGTGATGCATGGTGATGCTACAAAAACAAGGACCCCGCTGAAAAGCGCAGGGCCCTTTTTTGCAAAAACTAGGACCCAAAGCGATAATACGTTGCAGGATTGCCTAAGATAGAACATGGCTTAAACCAATGAGCCTTTGTCATTGCGTCGACTCAAACAATCCGATATGGTTTGATATGTCCCTGAACTATATATATATATGATTTGCTTCGAGTTGATCACCGACACAAGCTTCCCACATGTTGACAACAAATGACGCTGTGTGGTACATTGTTAGCTCGGGCTATATAGGACACGTCAAATCGATGGCGCATTCCATGCTTCCCAAAGATAGAATAAGGCCCATCCAAATAATTGCTCGTACGTCGACCCAACAAATCTGATGTGGTTTGGTATGTCCCCTTGGCGTGGGGACGTATCGCGACGGGCCTCAGCAGTGTGTACGTTGTTTCGGGTCCATCGCCAAAATGGCACGTCGCATGTTGGCAGCAAACGACGTTCTCGGACACGTCGTCAGCCTGCCACCCCCCCTGGCGGCAACTCGCAGGATCCGCGAAGATAGAACATGGCTCACCAAGAGCCCCTGCTGGGTCATCATGCGCTGAATGGTCATGGTCCCTGATTCTTGGTGACTAGTCCAACAAATATCTCCAAGAGATCTTGGAGCGCAAGGTGGTGAGGTTCAACAAGGGTGTGGGAGGTGATGCGCCTTATCTGGCATGTTTTCTGCATTTACTTGTGCATTATATATACGTGTTCCGTAAGCGCCCTGTGTCCCGCCTCGGCGACGAAACCAGCTGGAAGCCAGCCATCGGGACTTTGTATGGCACGTTGACAGCAAGTGACGCTTTGGGGTAATTACATGGTTCAAATCGATGGCGCATACCAGGATTCCCAAACATAGAGTATGACCCAGCAAGAGCATTTGTCGAGTGGTTTGGTCATGCGACCTAAAGACTTGATATATGTCGTTTCGATATGCCCCCATGGTTGGCTTGGGGGGAAGCATAGCGCGACGAGCCTCGGCGTTGTATACAAATGCAAATATACACATATATGTGCATATATATATGTATCCATGAGTTGCTTCGGGCTGATCACGGACACAAGCTTCCAACATGTTGGCAGCAAATGCCATTGTTAGCGCTCTCAAATTGACGACAAATTTCAGGCTTATCAAAGATAGAACATGGCCCAGCCAGAGCGACTGTCAAGTGGATTGATCCTGTGACCCGCCAAAGACTTTGGGTCATTTTGATACGCCCGCAAAAAGTTGGCTTGTGGACGTATAGTGACGGGCCTCAGCCTTGTATATATTAGTTGCTCCGGGTTGATCGCCGACACAAGTGATCAACATGTTGGAGCAAACGACGCTTTGCGGTACATTGTTAGGACCCTTCAAATCGATGGTAAATCCCAGCCTCCCCAAAGATAGAACATGGCCCAGCAAGAGTGTTGCCGATTATATAGTTTAATCATGCGTGCTACATAGTTTGGTTTTTTGTGATGTCCCCAACCAATTTGTGTGGGAACATATCGTGACTGGCCTCAGCGATCTATGCTTTGCTTCGAGTTGATCAGCGACACAAAGCTGCATCGAATGAGGATTTGTGGTATATAATATATACATATATATATATATACACACATCGTTAGCACCCTTCAAACCGATGGTAAACTCCAGGCTTCCCAAAGATAGAACGTGGCACATCAAGAGCGTCTGCCGAGTATCTGGTTTGATCATGAATCGTCCATGTATCCATGGTTGCCCAAATTCTATCTTTGAGACCCCTGCCAACCGTGGTAGTTTGTTTAATGGGTTCACGTACGGACGTACGTTTTGAGTTGGACCGGTTGGTGCATGTTCTATCTTTGACACACCTGCATATCACCAGTAAAAATCATTTTTAGAGACAAAATATAGGATTACATGTGTCAGATGTTCTATCTTAGAGGATACCAGTAGATGTTCTATCTTCCGAAAACCGTATTTTGGGAAAATCGTAGGTGTTCTATCTTTCGGAACCGGAGTGTAGCAAACGCGTATCAAATATCCCTGCTGCATGCACGACAAAATAGGTGGTCACCGCCGTACAGCTCCCCGTGCGCCCGTCAAAAAAAAGTCTTGACACAAATTCTGAGTGGCCGCAGCAGGCAAAAAAGCAACTGGGTGTCAAAAAGCACCAATTTTGCAGCTGGGCACAGCATCCGCAGGCAATGGGTACAAATTCTGGGCGGGCCGGCCAAGTTTGGCGTGTGACCCCCAAAAATGTAGACATAACGGGTGATTCTTTCGTTGCCTGCCGTGGGTGCTTTGCACTTGTACCCCAGTGACCCACTTCTTCCTTCTTTCTTCCTTTCTTTCTTTCGTTCTATATTTCTTCCTATCTTTCTTTCCTGTCATTCTTTCTTTCTGTCTTTCTTTCCTTCCTTCCTTCCTTCTTTATTTCTCTCTGTCTGTCCGTCTGTCTGTCTGTCGTTTTTCTCTCTTTCTTTCTTTGCGTCTTTCTTTATGTCTTGCAATTTTCCTTTCTTTCTTTCCTTCCTTCCTTCGTTCTTTTGCTTAAGTTGTCTTTCTTTCTTTCGTTATTTATTTTTGTCTCTCTTTCTCTCCTTCTCATTTTCTATCCATTTATCATCTGTCTGTTTCTCTATCTCTCTCTCTTCGCCTATCTAGAAATCTATCTTGCTATCTACCTATTTGTCTCTCTCTCTGACTGTTTAATCTGCCTAACAGTCGATTTGTCTCTAATCTCCCTCTATCTGTCTAATCTTTCTTTCTCTCTCGCTTGATCAAGTGGCAGGCGCAGCCACATCTCGAGGTCAAGTACACATTTCGTGGCAAGCGCTGAACTTTCGAAAACTCGTGTGGCAGGCGCAATGTGTTCGTAGACAGACTGATAGAGAGAGATAAGTAAATCATCCGTCTATCTAACCTGTTTTCTCTCTATCTATCTACCTACCCACCTACCGCCTCTACGCATCCATCTATTTGCAATCTATCTTATCTCTATCTTTTCATTTATCTTTCCGCCGTCTTTCTTTGCTCTATAAACTTGTGCGTCTGTCTGTATCTACCTCCCTCTCTCTCTCTCTACCTATCTAGGCATCTTTCTATCCATCTGTGTACGGCTTTTGACTATTTCTTGTAGTCGTCCAACCCCACTGATCTTTTAGTTATCTATCGCTCTCTTTCTCTCTCTCTCTCTCTCTCCCTGATCTTTTTATCTAGATACCCATCTAATCTTTCTTTCTTTCTATCTATATCTCTCCCTCTCTATCTACCTATCGACCTACCGATCATATCTATCTCTCTCTCTGTCTCGCTATGTCCCTCTCTATGCTTCAATATACCCTTCCACTTTCCACATTTCTCTGTCTAACCTGCGCAAGTGCTGCGCGTGCCACGGAACCCTTACCTGACCTTGCAAAAGTGCTGCGCCTGCCGTGAAATTTGCACTTGGCCTCGCGAAAGCGCTGCTCCTGCCACAAAATCTGAACCTGGCCTTGGGAATGTGCTGCGCCTGCTACGAGATTTGCGCCTGACCTCGCGAATGAGGCGCCTGCCACGACCCCGCGAAAGCGCTGCGCCTGCCACGAGATCTGTTCCTGGCTTTGCGAAAGTGCTGCGCCTGCCATGCAAAACTAAGCCTGCGAAAAGCGTGCGCGTCCGACCGGAGCGCGCTTCGATCGCGTCCGCAGATGCTCCGAGATCTCTCCGACCAGGCGTCGCAATCAGGCTAACTTTCAAGCATCCTAATGTATCGACGAAACCCGGAGCGGGCTGCGCTTTTAACTTTCTTCACATTTCTATTCCCCCGCCACACGCGCGCTCTATTTTTTCTGCGCAACTTCCTTCTTTTGGCATCTGTCTCAAACAGCCAGCCTTCAATTAGGTGCCTTAACACGGTGTTGCTTCTAAACTTCTTTGAAAATGGGCAGACACTGCGGTACAAATTCAAGCAAGCCACGGCAGGCACAGAAAGACGCGTCTGCCATGTCTACAGTGTAGCCAAGAAGCACTTTTGGGGGCCAACGGATAACAAGCCCTGAACACTACACGCATGGGCGGTGACCGGCGCACAAATTCAAAGGGGCCACAGCAGGCAAAGACATAATCAGAAGCATCCGTTGTGTCAAATGGGAAGCAAGCCCCTTACTGGGGGTTGTCAGCGTAAGTGTGTCATACTGGAAACCCCCCTCCCAACAACTTTTAGACGGTTTGAGTTGTGTTTGGCTTAAAACGCCCTTAACATTCTCAAAAGGGTGCTCCAAAATGCTGCAAATAGCGTCACTTTGTGTTACCCGCAAAAAAAATTGCTCCCCCTTCCCCCTGCCCTCCCCTTCGCCTCCCACCCCCCCACCCCCACACCCTCGCCCGCGAAACCCGCCGGGCTTCACAATACATTGCTCCAGCCAAGCCGGGCTCTGGGCCAAGTCAGTCACAAATAGGTCCGTTTCAAGGCGAAACGTTGTCGTCTCCACATAGCCATGAAAAAGCCCAAGCTCCTTGAACTTTTTGGGAGGGGGAGCCTTGGGGGAGGAGTGATTCATTTCCTGACACTCGCGCCTTTTTATTTGTAGAATCTCATAACCTTTGAGGTTCCAGCGCTTCATCCTGCGCGCCGCCCTTGAAGGAGAAAAGGTTGATACAGCCAGACCTGGCGGGGAAATTGCTTGCACTTCTCTTAAGTCAGCTAAATGTAAGAGTCATTCATGCTCTGGAGGCCCTTGCAAGCGCTGGGACGCTGATGAAGTCTGGTGGTACGCTACAAGGGTGCAACTAAGGGTGCGGCTGGTACGGTGCAAGGATGGGCGGCCTATTTGCTACGTTGGCGAGCTTACGCGGTTTGCTAAGCCACTTGTAAGTTGCCTAACTTGAGCTAGTAAGCTCGCTAAGTCTGACTTGGCGGACTTACAACCTGGCTAAGTCCACTTGGCGAGTTAAAGGGCTTAGCTAAGTAGATGCTGAATAGTTCTAAGTAGTGAGCTAAGTCCTCTAACTCGCCAAGTGAACTATAGCCAGGTTGTAAGTCCGCCAAGTCAGACTTTCCGGCCATACTAACTCAAGCGAGGCAACTTGCAAGTGGCTTAGCAAGTCGCTTACGTTCGTGAACTACATAGCAAGTAGGCTGCCCATCCAGGAATCCAAGTATACGTGTAGGCTACAATGGTACGACTGGCGCTGGTGCTGTGCAAGGGGACAACTGGTACGGTACAAGGGTGCGACTGGTACGGTGCAATGGTACGGCTCGCACGGTACAAGGGTACGACTGATACGGTACAAGGGCACGACTGGTACGATACAAGGGCACGACCGGTATGACACAAGGGTGCGACTGATACGGCGCAAGGGTGTAAATGGTACAGTGCAAGGGTATGCCTGGTACGGTGCAAGGGTACGACCGGTACGACAGAAGGGTACGACGGATACGGCGCAAGGGTACGACTGGCGCAGCGCTAGGGTACGACTGGCACCGCGCAAGGGTACCACGCGACAGCGCGCGGGTAGCGACTGGCACGGTGCAATCATACGACTGGTGTGGTACAAGGGTGCGACTGGTACGGCACAAGGGTACGACTGGTACGATACAAGGGTACCACTGATACGGTGCAAGGGTACGACTGGTACGGTGCTATGGTACAACTGGTACCGCGCAAGGGTACGACGGGGCAGCGCAAGGGAACCGACTGGCACGGTGCAATCATACGGTGGGTACATCGCAAGAGAACCTTGGTCGAGTTGCTTCGTGTTTTCCGGAGTTGAGTTGGCCGTTGTTTGCTGCATTGTCCAATGTGTGTGTGCGTTTAAGCCTGCTTGTCCTTGGGCTACGAAAAGCATGCGCTTAGCAAGCACACCTTCTGCCGTGCCAATTGCATTCACGGACTGCAGGAGTTGTGCCTGCGCACAACGCCAAACGTATCCTTGTCCCACGTCACCCCCTGGCGCAAGTCGACCTCTTTTACCCTATCACGGTGGCTTCTGCGCTTGTTCCACCCCGCTGCAACCTGAAATACACGTGCAGCACGTTGGTAATGTGTCATGACCTCTCAAAAGGTAAGGGAAGTCTGAAGCCTGCAAAGTCTGGAGCGCAGGGTCTCAGAACTAAAAAGTCTAGAGTCTTGGGTCCTGGGCCGTTGTTTCTGCTGAAGCAGAAACACCTGTCAGAAAGACAGCATTTACTGGCACCGTTGGTGCAGCGAGCAGCCCAAAATAAAGTGTAACTCCTTGTTCGGCCACTGCCCAGCAAACAGCCAGCCAGCATCCCTTTGCAGCTTCGGTGTGTAGCTGTTAACGCAGGAAAGGATACGAATAAGCAACAGCAACCGCGTTTGAAATCTTGATTCAAGCACACAGCCAATATCTCCAGCACCACTAGCACCATCAGCACATGAAATGGGGCAGTTCATTTCATCCAGCCAGCAAAGTACCCAGCATCACGTGGCCCCAAACATGCGCCACATGGGCTGTTCATGTAGAAAGCAGCTGAATATTTAACGAAGAGCAACCCATTGACGAGTAATCCCTTGTTTGGCCGCGGCTGCGAGAACAAGGGGCCACGCTTCACGCACATTCGGTTTACAAAATTTGGAGCGTGGACGCGGCCAACGGCGCTGGCTGTTAATGTTTTTAAACCACCACCCTGTACGGATGGTGCGGCCCCAGCGATGCTCGGGATGCTGACTGTATGCTCTCAGATTTGGTCAAAATTTTGAGGGTTACCCCTCTAACAGTCTTTTTATGTGTGTTGGCTGTGAGCATGTGGTTAACATCTCGGCACCGTCAGGGTTCGAAATAGGGCTGTTCAGGTCAAAGAGCAACTTAAATTCAAGCACCTATCCCTTTTGCTGGCTCTTCATGTACAAGAGCCACCCGTTTTGAAGGCAGTTCATTGAAAAAAGCAAAGAGACATTGTTGAAGTAGACACAGACCTCCAAGTTTTGGAATCTAGATATTAGGAGTTTGAAGCTCCCAGTTCGAAGTACAGCACTCTAAACTAGCTTGGCGGCTACTTGTATCTGGCGCTTGTTCCAAACCGGATGCGTCCGCCGAGTGTACCAGTTGTACCAACCAGCTGTACCCGGAAAAACGCTACCTTTTTCCTATGCTATTTCGTGAGCACGGTTAATTGCAACTAGGGCTCACCCGTGTCAAACCAAAAAGGGATGTGACCATTCAGACAGCTGTTTCCAACCAAAAAAACATTTCTAATTGTTTAAGGTTTTGCCGCAGATTTGACCTAGGAGAAGAAACAATTTAAAGCAACACTGATGCCTCGGCAACAGTTAAGAACTTTTGCTTGGGCATTTGCCCGGCTCTTGCCTACAAAAATGTGTTTTGTTTGTTGGTTGCTAACATGACACATGAGTCCTGGCGGGAGTGCCTGAGTGTGTGAGCAATGGATCGTTGCCTCATGGACACGCTTATTATAGAAAGCGTTTTTCCCAATTCAGGATCCTGAGCTATATTGGGGTCCTCCATTCTGGAAAGCTTTTGCCCCACACCGAAGTGGAAAACCGGTCAACAAACGCGAGCCTTCTTTCTTGGGAAGCAGTTTAGAAATTCCAGTTTTACAAGTGGCCCCTAAACCTATCTTTACAACAAAATCCCAGAAGTAGCAGAAACACGGCCAAGCAGCCACACAAAGGGGGTTGCCCGCAGGAGCCCCTAATCCTCTTTAATCTGACTGTGTTGGTGCCCTCTTTAATAGAAAGTTTGTTTGGAGAGGGTGACAACTTCCAGATCAACGCCTTAGCCTGGTTGCCCTAAGTTCTTCCCAGCGCAAAGGTTAAAGACCTTAGACCTAGCCTGTTGCATCCCAGCGCAAAATCCCCTGTAGCAACAAGAAACAAAGCCAGGCCCTCACACGCAGGGGGTTGCCCGCAGGAGCCCCTGCTCCTCTTTAGTCTGACTGCTTTGCGGGTCTGCTTCAATGACACGCAATATTGTGTTGCTTTTTGCTTGGAGGGTGACATTGCCAGAGCAAAGCCATAGCCGTTTACTTTGAAGGGTGGTTCACCCAGGCCCTTCCCAGCTCGAAGGCTAAAGGCCTTAGATCTTGGCAAAACTAAATTTAGTCTTGTCAATACTGAGTTAAGTACTTGGAATCTAAGATTAGTTCTTGGCAATACTAAAGTTGGCCTTGGCAATACTAAATTAGGTACTGCGAATCTAAGATTAAGTCTTGGCAATACTAAATTAAACACTAGGAATCTAAGATTTAGCTTTGGCGATACTAATTTTAGTATTGCAAATACTAAATCAAATACTCGGGATCTAAGATTTGGTCGTGGTAGCACTCAATTTAGTACTGGCAGTCTAAGATGAAGTCGTGGCAATACTAACTTTACTCTTGGCTTGTTGGCGCTGTTTGGTGGGGGGAGGGGACCGATAAGGCAGGTTCTACATTACATGAAACTGAAGTCACCGGAAAAGGTAGGATTCCCAAGCAGCCTATAAGATGAACTGTGTGTCGCAGCTTGTGCCAAGCCAAAACGTTGTGTCAAAACTTGCGTGTCAAAACAAATGACAATTCAGAACAAAAACGCAGATCACCACAAAGACGTAAGTTGACGATTGTGTCAAAACTTGTGTCACAACTTGTGCTAAAGCTCCAGACACGCGCGGCAAAAATCAAAAAACAAGTCAAACAAGTCACCAAACAGGGCCGTGTCAAAACTTGTGTCAAAACTCCCCCGTATCAAAACTGTTCCGTGTCAAAACTTTTTGTGTCAAAACTGTGTCAAAACTTTTTTTGTGACTATATGCAGTAGGTTGTGAAAAGTTTTGACACGGCAGTTCTGCCAAAGTGTTGACACAAGTTTTGACACAGGGAGTTTTGACACAAGTCTTGAAACGGCCCTGTTTGGTGACTTGTTTGACTTGATTTGCATTTCCCGCGCGGGTCGGGAGTTTTGGCACAAGTTTTGACACAGCCCTGTGTGTGTCAAGGGGCTCCGTTTCTGGTATGTTTTGGAGACTGTAAAGGGGCACGCTTTGGTAGTTTCCAAAACTGGCCGTGGCGAAACTTGTGTCAAACTAAAATGTGTCACTGAAGCTTTGACACAGCGACAAATGTGCGTATTTTGGGATTGTTTCGGGATTGTGGGCCGCACGTGCGATCATGCCTGCGATTAGCGATTAGTGAGATGCAAACAGAACGTGCTTGCCCCACATGGCACAAGCCCCAATACATGTGTGGGACCTGCTTTAATCGGTCCCCTCCTCAAACAGTACCAGCACCTCTTTAGTCGGAAATTGGGGGCTTTGCTGGATGTTGTATTGCCAATATCAAATTCAGTTTTGCCAAAACTGAATCGTAGATTCAAGTCGTTAACTTAGTATTACTACGACTTGCTCAATACTGCCAAGGCTTAATCTTATACTCCCAGTATTTAATTTAGTATTGCCAAGGCTTAATCTTAGATTCGCAGTACCTAATTAAATTTCCTGTACTTCATTTAGCACTGGCAACGTGTCTTTATTGCCTAGATCTCAGGCCTTTAGCCTCTAAGCTGGGAAGAGCTTACGTGGGTGAGCCAGGCTAGGGCTTTGATCTGGAAGTTTCACCCACGCCAAAAAGAACTTGCCATTAAAAAGGACCACAAAGCAGTCAGATTCAACAGGATCAGGACCTCCTGCAGCCTGCAGGCGACCCTTATGTGATGGCTTGGCATTTTGTTAATGGTGTACAAAAACAGAGATGGTTTGTTTTCTAGATTTAAGGCCTTTAGCCTCGGAGCCAAAAACAACAACAAAGTGACACTAACGAGAACTCACACAAGTCGGATTGAAGATGGTCGGGGGCTCCTGTAGGCAACCCCCTGCTTGTGACTGTTTGGCCTTGTTGCTTTTTGCAATCAGGGATTTATATAAAGATTGATAGTTTTGGAACCACGTGCGAAACTGGATTTTCTAGATCTAAGGCTTCCAAGTGTTGTTTCCAAAAAATGAAATCACGTTGTTTACATGTTTTGGAGTGGGCAAAACAAATTGCCATAATAGAGAACCCCAAGCAACAAACTGTCTACAACAGCGGCCCCAATTAAAAACAAAGGGCCCAACATGTTTGATCGTGGCTCCTAAAGCTAACCTTCGCAGCACCACTGGAAACACTTTCACAAGAAGGGCAGCTATCATCGTCACATAATTTGCCATAACTTGAAGAGCAGAAAGGTCCAATGGTGCAGAGCCTCCCAGAACCTACTTTGCAAACTTGTTTATTTGACTGTCTGAAAATCATGCCTGCTTTAGAGGCCACTTTAAAAGAGCCCGCGAAATAGCGTAAGGGGGACATATATCCACATTCTCGTGTTGCAGTGAAGGGCAAATCCAAGGCAAAACCTAGAAGCTCGGCAACACAAATGTGCTATTTTGTAACCATCAAACATAAAACACACTTTTTCCAGACCACAAGGATGCGGATAGCCAACAATGGGTCCTTAACAGTGCTCACGAAATAGCATACTTTTTCCAAATGTTGCTACGTCTTTTCTTTGCCCCAAACCCTGTAAAGGACGGTAAATCTGCGTTTTGGGCAATTTTATTGCTACCTTTTTTGGGTACAGTCGGGTGGGTACACTGGGTACGGTACGCTGGTACATCTGGTACGGTACGCGGGTGCAACTTGCGTTTACGGTCAATCTACGTTTTGGGCCATTTAATTGCTACCTTTTTCCAAACAACGCTACCTGGTATGGCACGCTGGGTCCAATTGACCGGCGAGGTCAGCAGTTTTCACTTTTGTGCACGTACACCGGGCACCTGGTGTAAAATGGACAGGCGCAGGGGCACACATGTTGCTTTGCGAAGGCTGGCGTTGGGAAGGTTCAACGGCTGATTCAATGGGTGGCCGGCGCTTGGCAAAATGTCACCCTTGAGTTGTTGGCCAAATCTAGAAGCACTGTCAGCATTGCCAGCATAACTGGGCCGCGCGCTACACACAGGGCGGTATTTAGAAATATTAGCAAGGTAGCATCGTTGGCTGCGTCCACGCACCAAATTTGGAAAATCGCATCACGTGAAACGCGACCACTTGTGCTTGCAGCCGCGGCCAAACAAGGGGTTACGCTCCTATGAGTTGCTGTTCGTTGAATGTTTAGTTGCTTTCTACACGAACGGCCCATGTGGTGCGTTCACGGGGCCACGTGATTTGGGGGCGGGGGCGCTGGCTGTGTCCGGCCAGCTTCAGCTCTTACGTTTCAACTTGTCGCTCTTGTAAATCACCACCCTGCATCAGTGATACTGGGGACGCCGGCGCGCTCCACACAATCGGCAAAATCAAAGGGTTTCAATGGGGGCTGCCACCCTTTCTGTATTTATGCGCTGGTCGAAATGAATTTCCCCATTTGGCGCGCTGACCGGGGCTGGTGATACTGGAGATATTTGCGATGAGCTTGTCAAGAAGTTAAGCTTCAAGCGGTTGCCGTTGTTTGTTTGTGCCCTTTCCTTTTCCTGCGTTAACAGCTCCACGCCGACGCTGCGAAGGGATGCCGGCTAGCTGTACGCTGAACACTTGGCCAAACAAGGCGTTACACTTTGCTTGGGGATGCCGTTGGTTCAAATCCTGATTTGCGGCACCAACGGTGCCAGTAAACTGCTGTCTTTCTGAGAGGTGTTGCTGCTTCAACCGTGATCTTGCTGAACTGCGGAAACAACGGCCCAAGACCCAAGACTCTAGACTTTCTATTTCTGAGACCCTGGGCTCTAGACTTTGCGACTTCCCAGACTCCAGACTTACCTTTTGAGGGGTCATGAAAATAGCATGTCTAGTTTACTATTGCGTGACAAGGATACGACTGGTTTTGCGCAAAAACACAGCTGGCGCGTGGACGCAATTGGCACGGAGGTGTCCTTGCAACCGCGCATGTGTTTCCTACAGAAAGGATAGGCTGCCGTTTTGGGGCAAGCAACACATGGGTGTGGGTCAATATTCTGGCGTGGAACGTTCCGCGGTGGCGCGGACGTCTGGAACGAGTCAGTTACGCAAGGTCGCTTGTTCCGGACCTCTGGGAGGACATGCGTGGAGTCCTCAAGCACACGATCATTTAGTGAAAGGTGGAAAGATGGATGGATGCATGGATGGACGGGTAGATGGATGGATGAAGCGACTAGGGGCGCGCCGCCATCGTTGCCACCCTCGCGTCATTGGGACACCGATGCGCTGTTGTCACGCCCGCCACGCGCGCCAGCCGATGCACAAGGCTGGGAGGCGTAAGCCGATGTCCGCCGATGCGCAAGCCGATGCAGGGTATCCTTCAAAGACTTCTTTGTCTCCAAAGCCCTGGCCCATGTCGTCCTTGAAGGCTTCTTGGGTGGCGGGCCACGTAAGAAGCGCAGCTACTTACATGGCGCATGTGTGTGCATGTGGACTTGGTGGCAAATTGCTCCGCTGCGTCTGGAACACGTCTGGAACGGGTCTGGAACGGGGTCTGGAACGGTTACGCGAGTGGCTTGCACTTTGGAATGCTAGCAAGCCGCATGTAAACATGGTCGTTTCAACCATGTGACGAACGAGAACGGTATCGAACCGCTACCGTTTTGTATCGAAAGCGGCGGAATTGTATCGTTCGCACCGAACCGAACCAAAGTTCCGGAACACCGATACTCCTTTCTTCATTTCTTTATCCTTCTTTCTTGCTCCTTTGCTCCTCCTTTCTTGCTCCACGCCATTTCAGCCTTGGCCATTGCACTTGCACACCCGACAAAGAACGACCATCTGAATCAATAAATAATATACATAAACAAGGTCTGGAACGCAAGGTCTGGAACATGTTTCTCGGCAAGGTCTGGAACGGAGGTCTGGAACGGAGGTCTGGATCGCATGTGGGTTCCGGACCCTGTTCCGGACCTTATAAAGTGACTCGCAGCCATATCAGCTCCGCCAATTGGCGGGGCTCGCACACACAAACACATCGCGCAACGCAGCAAGCATGAGCTAACACGAAGCAGCTCGACCGAGGTTCCGCCAATTGTATCCTTGCAGCGCGCCAATCGTAACCCTGCACCGTACCAGTCGTACCCTAGTACCCTTGTACCGTACCAGTCGGACAGTCGTACCCTTGCACCGTACCAGTCGTTCCTGTTGATTGTACCAGCTGCACCGACCTGCACCGTACCTGGATGAGGCGCAGTCGCGGCTTTTGGACGGATGTGGGCCCCTTATTTTGCAGCTGAAGTGCAGAGATAGGTGGGGTTTGCGCAGGTGTTCAGTTAGTTGGCACTGTCAAGCGCGACCCTTGAGAATTCGAGTTGTTTTGCAAGATTGCCAAATAAAGTTAGGCGCTGGCGCTGGAGTTGGCCCAAAACTTTAGGTTTCTGAATGGCGCAACCTCTTGAAACCTCTTGAGCCCCTTTGGCCCAAACCGGCCACATTTCGGAAACGAGCGTCGTATCTCCAAACAGTGGCTGCTTCCTGCTCGGCTTACCAAAGCTCTAAAGTTGGTTTGAAACAGAAAGATTTCTGCTTCTCAGCTTCGTGACGCCCACGCCCTCAATGTTGCCACAATGTGCTTGGCAAGCAAACCAGGAATGTCGCAAACTCTCGCGCAAGCTGCTAAGGTTTCTACTTGCTAGAAGGCCGAGGACACTGGGATCTTCGGGGGGGGGCACCTCTTCGGGCACGTAGATTTCACCCTGTGTGGACAAGCGCGTTAGAGTGACAGCCAGCCAAGGCCATACTTCTCAAGCCACACGTGCTGCTGCACCCTGGCATTGCTTGGGACTCAAATGGGCCAGCTCATTGCAGATGGCAAAACTGCCCCAAAGCTGTCTGAGCCAGAAAGATTGTGCATCTATCGTTCAGGCGCTGCGATCGTTGGCCTGCCCCTCTTGTCTCGGAACTTCTTGATCTCTTCGCCCTCAAAGGATCAGTTGTACTTTCGCTGCGCCCATGCACGTGTGTGGAGCATTCTGCGTCCAAGCATCCTTAAACTCGTCGTCGGCCATCTTCATGGCAGCCAAGGGGTTGTCTCTGATCAAGTTGACCTGAAAATGCAGTACAGGTAGGATCCCACACCACTTCCACTTCGTGAGTCCGGCCTTCTCAATCATGCGCTCTACCGGTCGGAGTACGAGTGCATTTGCGTCCTGCCCAGAGCATGCTGGTGCAACATCGGGCTTACGTCGTTGCCCAGGTTCCGTGCTTATTGTATTCTTGATGTGTAGGGTACCTCATGCGACATCGAACACCACAACGTCCCTCACCAACAGACCATGCCTATATATGCTGGGGAAGACCGTGACTAGAAACAAATACACCTGCAGAAGTCCATTCAACGGAATGAGGCACGCGCCTCATTCCAATCAGATTGTGGTGCAAAAGTCACAGCAAAGAACTGTCGTTATGTTGCTCAATCGTGCGAAGCAAACAACCAACCATTTTCTCAATTCAGCAGGCGCAGGCCGGCAGCATGATTTTTCGCGCTGGCGCGAATGATGGGACACACTGGAGCCCAAAGAATTGACCGCGCCCGCGCGTTTTCAAGATGATTCTTGGCCAGGTTGGCTTTCGCCAGTCGTGATGAAAGGCCGCTATGTTGATGGCGATCGTGTTGGCGCTGTTGCCGCTGCTGCTGCTGCTGCTCGAATGGTTCCTTGCTTGTGAAGTCACCAGATTGGGCGAGTTAACATTTGATTCGCGCATGCAGTGCCGTGGTCGTGATCTAAATCGTGGTCGTCAGTAGCATGGACTACTAGAAAGTTTGAGCATTCAGTAGTTCCATGGTCGTCAATACCGGCGCCGCCTGTTTACGTGCTCGTTCCAGCGAGCAGGGATCATCTGCATGCCTTAAATTTTAACGTGCCCGTTCTAGTGACTAGGAAGCTGGGCATGCCCAAAGAGGTGATAGCGAGTCAAGCGTATTCCCTTCAAATTTCTGGAAGGCCCATGGTCAGCAAACCCGCTGAAGAGCACCAGCTCGGGCCTGCCAAGCAAACCACCCGCTGCAGAACCCAAAAATCATGAAAAACCATGTAAATGCTGGCGAGGCTTCGTGCTGCGAGTTGGACAACAATCAGAATCTCTCGTTGCAAAACCATTGGCACACCGCGGTGTAAAACAACATACTTCCCCCTAAAACAGATCCATGCCCAACAGTCCTTGGAGAACTGCATCGATGCGACGCATAGAACGAGGCAAATGAATCCCTCAGGCTTGGGTGCTCGGCTCATGGCATTGCCCAAAGAGCCTCTAGCTCGCGCAAACCTTCGGAAGTGTGGCTACGTGAGGCGATGTTTACGGGTCTTACAGTTCCCACATGTCTGATCAGTTTTCGCACTGGCCAGATCTGAGCTCCGGCTGTCAGCATCATGTTGTTGGAGGACTCCAATCTCACGAATGGCCTGAAGCCATCAGGATCCGCCGGGCTGGGCAGGTACCGCACGAGCCCGTGTCAAAAGAAACAAAGAATATCAAAAAACTCCAGGCATGGAGGGTGTTACAGGGGAATCTTGGCGAGCGCGCGTATCCCTTGTTGGTTTGCCCTGCTTGCTCCTTACCGTTGCCTGGCATCAAAGAAGAAGGCCAAGTGCCAGTCGTCGAACTGCTCCCTGACGCCGGCATAGCGCAAGCGGTTGGCTATAAACTATGTGTTCCCTTCATAGCTTCAAAAGGGAGCGCTGACAGGTGCAATGAAGGCCAAAGGTGACAGGGTTCCAAAACCAATTGCGCAGGACTTGCACCCATAACCGCACTCCGAGGCGCTGTGTTATCAGGGACGGTCGGATGGTGAAGCGTTCTTGCGGCCGAAGATCATCTGGGCACCTGCGCCAAATAGATGGTTGACTTCTGGTTGATGTATGCGGAGGTGTCACTTTGTTTGACTGTTTTACGAATGTTTACATGGGACACAGGAGGAAGGATAGCTTGAACAGGAAGTGTAGTGGCAAGGGTCCTTTCCTGCCCCGTGTTCAAGTTCTGATATGATTTTGAACTACATTACATCCTGCAAATGGGTAGCTGGGATTCGTACGCTGCAAACATAAAATAATAAGAAGTAGAGGCAACAGCGAGGCTTGCGAACGGAGGCAAGCCGCTTTCTGTCGGCCTTGGCCAAACAAGCTGATCCGCGCCACGGAACTCGGACTTCCAGTCGCGTCGAGCATCAAGACTGAAAGAGCTATGCTTGGCCAGCCAGCGCTTAGGCGTCAGGCAGCGAAGATTCCTCTTGCAAATGTCAAGCCAACGAGCGCAATGAAGCCACCTGCGAGCGTGATCATGACAGCCAGACAGGCGGCCTGAGCCCAACAAGGCTGTGGAAGGCCACGCAACACCCCTGCACCACGTCAAACCTGCAAACCTGCAAGCACTCCTGGAGCAACACCGTGGTCCGCGAAGTGAACGATGTGGCAGCTGCATTCCACACAAAACCCTGTCGCCATAAAGCACACGCAGTGCGAAATGATGTTGCAGGTGATGTTGCGGGCCCGCATGAATCCAAACAACACGCTGGTCACGGCCATGACGTTGCCTACAGCCAGGAAAGCGAGGTCAACAGGCATGGTGATCAGCACTGCCAGGAAAACGCCGATGAGCGTGAACCCAGTCGCGCTGAAGATCTTCTCCTCGACGAAGCGATGCCGGGCTGTTTGGGTGGGGAAACTCACCGGAAACCATCTTTCACCTGTTTAGCGCTTGTTCGCTGCGCTTTTCCGAGTCCGTAATGTTACACCTCCTTGGTTCATAGCACGCTCTATTATAGCAAACTGTTTTCGTACTTCAGGATCTTGTGACTGATTTGGAGCCCTCAATTGCAGCAATTGTTCCCCCGCACGCAGAAATCAAAAACACAAATTGTGTCTTCTACTCTCCTGACCTTGTCTTGCTCAGGCTGTACTAAGCCTCCGAAGCAAATATGGGCCAAACAAACTTGGCAAAGAAGTCGAGCAAGAAAAACGAGCAAACAAATCCGGGCAAGCATAAGGATTTTTGAAGCGGTCCTGTTATCGCTGGCCTTCTTGGTTCGAAGACGGCTCTCGCTGCAGACCTGTCTGCAATGTCCATCTGTCCTGCCACGAGGCAGGGTTTTGCTTGAGCAACTTGGCGTCCATCACACTGCATTACTCTTGTCTCAGCCTGAGGTGGCACTCCTCTGGGAGGTAGGCCATGAAGGGCGAGAGGCTCTTCTGCCAGTCTTTCACGCGCACGTCCTCAAAGACGATGAGTCTCGCTAGCCATCTCCTCTTCAACTTGGAGCTCCTCCAGGAGAGAACACTCACCTTCTGGATCACCCACCATCTTGTTCAGGGTGATGGCATCCTGTATAGTGGCTCCGTGTACCCTGCTCAAGAGGATGGACACCGCGCCCGCCGCCTCAGGCCGTGTCTGGTGCGCCACCCAGCTCACTCAATATAGCATCGACCTGAAAGCCTTGAGTTTATGCCCTCTTCTCCCTGTAGAGATCTTCACCGCGTGCACCTTTTCGATTATGTAATCTCCTGATCCGGGTGAATCTCCCCGTTGCTCTTCTTGATGCGCCGCGACAAAGTCCGCCTCATCTGGCTCCCACTTGCAACAATGAAACTTCTTGGCCAGCCGGCTCTCTACCTCTTTCTGCACGCTAAAGCCCACAGAAGTTACGCACCTCGATCAGAATGATACCCTTGGTGTTCCCCGCCGGCTTGTCCTTGTCGCAGTCGTTCTCCTCCACCTCTTGCCGGATGTAGACACAAGGATCCAGTATCCAATCTCCCGCAAACCATCTCAAAGGCGCATCGTCTAGTCTGTAGACCCGCGGGCAACCAGCTCTATCAGGTTCTGTTACTCGACCGGAAAGCCCTTGCAAGGTGCTAGCCGTCCTCTGGGTCTGTGTAGCTGCTCTGAGTGCGCGAAGGCTGCCTACGTCCCCAAACCGCATGATCACACTCTCGATAGCGTTTACCTGACACAGTCCGGACACCTGTGGCCGCGCACGCAGAACCTGGATTTCGCCTTGAAGTTGCGCAGTCCCGGCATGGCTTCTTTTTCCGCACCATCCTTGCCGTGAGAATACGGTGAGGAAACTGCTCTCGCAGCTTCTTTGCATCCTCCCCCTCAAGTTCCTCCTCCGTTCCTGTGACGTAGGTCTGGTAGGTCACGTTGTTCCGCGTGTAGAACACCGTTTGGCAGGCAACGACGCAGTAAGGCAAAGTTTGCGACGGCGCATTGGACAAGAAGTCCGGCAGAGCGCGCGGCAACGCTGTGGGCAAGAAACCGGGCAAAGTTTGCGCCGGCGAGAAATCAACCAAAGCTTGTGGCGATGCTGTGGGCAAGAAGTCAGGCAAAGTTTGCGGCGATGCTGCGGGCAAGAAGTCAAGCGAAGTTTGCGGCGATGCGCTCAATGAACCCCATAACGTCGTGTCACCTTCCCCCACGGCTCCCTCCGCTCTCCTCTCTCTCGCTTCTCTCCTCAAGACCTCTGGCAGGGGATCTTGATCTTCTACCTGGAGCGCTCCGTGTCTCTATCTCTTTAACGCTGCTCTGGTACTGGTGGGTGTGCGTGAGGCTCTTGGCCCTGTTGGCTCCTAGTTGCCTGTGACGCTGCCAGAGCTCCGGGTTGACTTGAAGCTCCTCTTTGCCTCGTCAGTCTTCTCTACTCCTGGCCATCGATTTTTTCGACAGAGGCTCTGAGAGGGTTCTCCTCGAAGTCACCATGCTTGCAACTTCGGGCAACGCTCCAGAGCTAGGTAGACCTTCTCGCGCCTTCAACGGCGGTTTCAAGCCGCCGTTCTTCTGGCCCCGGAACCCTACCTCCTTGTACTGGTTCGATTGAATGACCTGCGTCCCCAGCAGAATGACAAGGCCAACCCATCTTGATCGCTCCCTGGCCGGGCATGTCGAACTCTGTGCGGTCGCACAGCGCCTCGTCCCAGGCCGATGTACTCTGCCCTGCATCTGACAGCAACTCCGCAGGAAGCCTCTACGTTCTCCGGGACCACCGTGTTGCCCGAGTTCATTTCCATGTCCAGTCTATCCTTCAACCACTGCTCATGCCTTTGCACTCTGCCGTTCTGTCAGGGAGACTCCACATCCGTGACTGTCTGGAGGATGCCGTGCTGCTCCAAGCCTCTTTAAAATCTTATGTTCTGAGCAGGCAGGCCCGTCTCTCTGTTGCTCCTCGGGTAGGCGGCCCTCTTCTTTTGCGCCTTCGTGGCCCGGGGCATAATGAGAACGCTATCTACCGGGCGATGGCCCTTGTTCACGTGCAACAAGCGCACCATGTTCTTTTGCTGCTGGGAGAGTGGTACTTGCTCAGATTGCTTGGAGAGTTGCTCCAACCCCAGATCTTCTTGAGGTTCCTCTGCGGTTCGCCTTGAGGGTCTTCTTCCGACCCCCGCCCAGCTCATCTGCTTGATGGCGTTCACCAAGCCTTCCGGCCACTTCTGAGCTTGGAAGACTGCCTTCCAGCCTCACGTGCTAATGTTCTCCTCGACATCGTAGCCGGCATACTTCTCGCGCGACTCATGTGATTCAGCATGAAGGATGATGCAGATCAAGTCGGGTTCCTCCCGCGCCTTCCGATGCTCTGGTTGAAAGAAGTCCCATCTGCATGTGAGGCCGAATGCTTTGATCTGAGCGCCGCGTAGCCGTCACTCGACTCGGGCGAGAACAGCTCCATGACCTTCTACATGCCGTTGTCCCGGAAGAAGTCTGTCCTTTGTCGCCACCGTTCTTCACATCCCCCGACAATAGCCCTCATCTGCTTGATCGGCGCCTTCTTAACATTCCCTGGGACGCCTACCTTGCGATCGTTGTTGATATCCTCGTCCTTCAGGCCTTGTGAGGTTGGTTTGATCCCAGATTCCGAAGGACCTCCACCTGGTCCGGCTTGAAGAAATCGCATTGGCTGATGATGCTCTTGGATCAGCATCGTCTGTTCGTCAGACTTTTCCAGGAAGACCACGCGCCAGACGTCCAGAGCCGACCCTCCTGAGGTCGACAACGCTTGCGCACCATCCCTGCACGTGGTTCTCGCCCATCGCCTTCTCTTCCACCGCGCGCCCGGGTTCGGCGCGACATAAATGATGTCGCCAGTTTTTGCGTCGTCACATGGACTTGGGCCTCACCTTCCACACCACCTTCGATCACCCCGACGAACGTGTTGGGGCTGGGGCTGTTCTCCTGCCCGAGGTAGACGGAGGCGGAATGCCTCTGACCGGACGCCGAGCCGCCGGCTTTTGATTGATACGGCTCCTTACACGACAAACCTTCTTGATGTTGGCGATGTCCATGTTCCGACGAGGCCGTTCGATCGGCAAAGCGCCGTCGGTCTTTCTTCTTCAGCTTCTTGTTCTCCTTCCATGACCTCTTCTTCTTGCCCTCCAGTGCCACGAACACCTCGAGCGCGGTGTCCTCTGCCAAGTCCATCTTGTCGATCTCCAGGATTTGCTAGCGAGCTAGCCACCTCCTCTTCCAGATCTGAGGTTGGTTGCCGCGCTCCTCCTCCAAATCCAAGCTTGAGTGCCTTGGCCACGTCCCTAGACCCTGCTGTCAATGTCCTCAGACTGAGAGCGCCCTGCGTCGGCCATGGAGCAACGGTGCATGGCCACGTCTGTAGCTCTGTTCCACTGAAGCACTCAATCTGTCATTTGGCCACTCCCTCAGCTGGTCTCGTCCCTTGGCTGTGTTCCTCCTCCATGGATCCTGTTTTTGAGAAGATCTGGCTCCTCTCTTGCCCCAAGATCATCTCTTCCTCCCGGCTCGTTGCCTTCATGACCTTGAGGATGCCCGCCGCCCATCCCCACCCGCGGGTGGCGCCCGTGGATTGCACTACCAGTTGATGAAGACCTAAGAGGGTGACAAACCTATGGTGGCCACGGGATTTTTTCTATGCTAACTGGAGCTGCGGTAGGTGGTCAAGTTTCTCCATTGGCAACACTAAAGTACGTACTGTCCCTCCCAGGCCCAGGAGTTTACTTAAAGAGGGTCCAGCTGACTGGTTCCAATTCAAGGGGGGGATGCGCGGCATCTCCCCTTGCGTCCCGCGCACCAGACGCGCCTGTGTCTGTATCATTGAAGTACGTATACAAGCACTGCCGTGTCCACCTCGCACATCGATGCCAAACTACTCAACATGCTGACCGCTGAATGGAGCCAGCAACTCAATGGCAACGCAAGATCTGACCTGCTGTTGGCGCGTCACAGAGCAGACCAAGCTCCAGGGGCATGCCGCCAACAAATGTGTTCTCAATCCAAGTATGCATGTGCTTTGGACGAGTCCGTCACGAAGTACGTGCCTGGCACTCCTTTGCCCGAAGCAAAGTCAGGACCCGCAGACTTGGAACGGCAGGGTGTGCTTTAGCGTCCCTGAGTTTCTGCCCACACCCCATGACCATGCTGGCTGATCGCGCGCACGCTCTCGATCGCACCGTTGAAGAGCTGAACTGGTTGATTCTCAACAGTAAAAGGTGGACATGGTGCAGTGCTGGCCAACACCCGCTGGCCCAGCGGCAACTCTGTGCCACCAGCGAAGCAATGAGAAGCTGCAAACTTGCCACGCCCATGGAGGCAATCATCATTGGGTAGGCTCAAATTAAGCGTTGATACAGGCATGGCGACCTGGGGTTCGACTTCTCGCAAACGTCACCAAAACCAAACTGGCTTCCACACCGACTCGAACCGCATCACATTCTTGATGAGCACCTCGGCCCTGTGCATCTGCTGGAGCACATCAAATGACACAAGGCTATGTCCATTTATTGGCCTGGCGATGAAGGCGACCGTTCGGGCGTCAGGAAATATGTTTGTTGCACGCTTGTAGTCGTTGTACTTGTCAGTTGTCGCGCATGTAAACGTCTCCGGGAAATCAGTCATGATCTTGATGAAGCCGAACATGTTCTCTGAACCATCCAACCGCAACATTCCTTGGACGCAAGCCAGAAAAGATAGTGAGGCGCAGCACAACGATAGAAACTGGGCGTCTTGCAATCACTAGAGCCGGGCCGAACCAGTTCTCCTGGGCCCGGCCGACACTTGATGCTGCCGACAACGTTTTCACTCAACTTGGAGGGCCGAGACTGCGACACAAACGCTTGCGTCGCTTGCGTCGGGCCCACAGCCATGGCACACGAGCCTCGGGTCCTTGAGCTACAAGCTGGCAGAAGTGTCACAAGTTGCGTTTCACTCTCTTCGATTGCTTGTGCCGCTGGTGATTGCCCAACGAAGTGAGCATGTCTCAGGAGTTTGCACAAACCCGAGCAAACGCATCGAGCCTCACAGGGTATGACACCACGTCCTGCGCTGAGCGTTGCGCATTGCCCGCTGGAAGTAAAAACTTCCAAAAAACAGTTCCAACCTCCGTCCTGGAGGGTCGTGGAAAGCAGCGACGTGCCCACGTGTTTCCAGCCGCCGTACTGCAGTGCCCAGTTTTCATCTTTGCTGCGTCGTCATGTGACACCCGCGCTCAAAGTGAACACATGTGCGCAATCCCGAGAATGTCTGCTACCCAGAAAACACTACCGCAGGGAAAACGGTGGTGGGTGTCAACATAATAAACAGCGAGCATATGGGATCTGGGGGAAGCTCGACATGGGCGAAAGGCCTGGCACTCGACGTCCCAGTCTCCGCTCAGCAAACTTTGAGCCTTTCCGGGGGTCAAAGCTGCCATGAGTCGAAACAGCTATGCGTGCGCGTGAGTGGTGGGCCTTTTGGCCGATTGACAGGAATTTCAGCGGGAAATTTGATTGACCAAGTCCTCCCGTTTTCGCATTCAGAATGATCTGGGCATTGGCCAAAACCAGCCCAACCATGAGGAGATGCTCGCAGCTCATGCAAATCGTCCAAACAAAATGCCGCGCCTCGCTGGGAAAGCCCCCCATGACATAGACCTGAAATATGGGCGAGTTGACACCGAGCACTGTTGGCAAAGCTTGAGTGCCCTGTTTCACTGTTCAACCTTTGGTGTAAAACGCTAGAAAGGCCTGATCCAACGTCTGCCTTGTGACCCATCAGCCAGGGACCCGGAGGCTCCGTGCAGCCGTGCAAAACGAAGGTTTCCTTTAACCCCAAATACGCAGAAGGTGTGTCGGTGCGGTGTGTCAGACACCGGCTTGCGCAGAACGAAACAAGTTTTGCGAACGGTCCAGCACGTGGATTCACTTGTGGGCGAATACATTAATTGGGCGCAGGCGATTCTGCAATGGCCTGCGCGAACCCATAGATGTTCGCACAGGCTTGTACACCCTACACACACGCCAGTACTATGGGTTCCTTCCCAAAAATTGGCCCGATGGGTAAATTTAAAGTTCAAGCCCGTGGTCTTGGGCGCGCGGCCACGTGTTCGTCTGCACACCCGCCCGCGCCGTTCATTGTAATCATACAAATTACGCTGCCGACAAAAGGGACTCATATGAATGTAAAATTCGGATGTCCTGTAAGGCCTTGCTAGTGATGCTGGGGGTGCGAAAGCATGCTCACAGCAAAACCCACGTCTTCATGATCATTGTCAGCATTGCCTTCGTCATCCCCATCGTCGTCATCATCATCACAGTCACTGTCATCCTCATGTAAAAATCAAATGCGACGCTAGGCCTCGCTGGTGATGCTGGGAATATGCGAAGGGCATCAAACTCATCACGGTCATCATCCTCATCTTTATTTTCTTTTTATCATGATCTGCATCGCAATCGTCATCAGTACGCGCATCATGCCCACCACCATCGCACCACCACCATCACCATCAGCATCATCATCCTCACCATCATCGTCGTCGTCATCAGTCTCTTTATGTGTGTAGAATTCCAATCTCACGTTAGGCCTCGCCGGTTGGTTGAAGCCCCTAAATCCGGCCCCCGCCTAGGATCCCCCATCGGACTGCCAGTTGCTGCCGCCGACCCCTCGCACACTCTGTGTGTCTAGCGCCTGGGCGGGGGTGTTGACGCACCATCACCGCCCGCGCGGCCATTGGAGCTCCAATTGGGGGAAGCTAAAAACACTGCAATTACGCAGCACAACAGCTGCGTCCGCAGCATCGTCGTCGCCGTCAGGAGCGCCGTATTCCGCGCGTCACTTTTGTCACCTGCGTCGCCCGCGGTTGCGCCACGTTCGAGGCCACGTTCCGGGCTCGCACGCGGCGCACGCGCGAGCCGCGCGCCTGAGCCGCACACGTGCCGCGCACCGCGCGCGGCTCACGCGCGTCGAGCAGCGCGCAACCACTCATCCACCATCCGCCCACCCATCCATCCACGCGCCTGTGCACCCACCATCAATCCATCCGTCCACCCGCCATCCATCAAACCATGGCAAGACGCCGGGTGTAGATTGCCGGTTCGAGCTCGAAGCGTTGGCAGCGTGCGCAAAGTTTCCTTCGATGAGACAGTCTCGCGCGAGATGCGCCTCATTGGGAAAGCGCGCTCTCCTGTAGGGCCGCGCGAACTTTGCGCGCGATGTTGTCGGAGGAAGCGCTGCGCCAAAGCTTGCACTACTGCCGGGTGCCCAATGCGCGGCATTCCGTCTACACACAGTTTTGAAGAAAGGCCTGTTGACTCCGCAAAAACAGCCATAGTTTCAGAGCTCCAACTGCCCAAGCGTCTTGGCCTGACCCGCCCGTTTGTAGACACGACGCTGTGATGACACCATGGGACGCTCTAAGAGACTCCATAGCCAGCGCAGCATGCTGTGAGACTTGCAAGCGGTTTCGCGGGCAACGAAACGCTCTCACTACGCTGCGCGCCTCGTCGTGTTGCTTGCGGAATGTTTTTTGGCTCCTGTCTCGTCGCTTGCGCCTGCTTTCGCCATCGCTCGATCTCGAGTTGACCCGCCTGGCCTGCGGCAGGTCCGGCTCGAAAATCGCAGTACGAAATAGCATGCGAAGCGCGCTCCCACGTCTCCCGCTGCAAAATGGCAAGTGTTAAGTGCAACATTACCGCAGCTGCGGTTTCAACTTTCAACATCGCAGCTCTTGTGTACATTCGCCTGCTCTGGCTCGAAAGAACTCTAAAGCACACAAGTAGTAAGCGCAGCGCGTTCTCGCAGCTCCGGCGTGCAAAGCCGTATAAGTCTGAAGTGCGCGAGCACTACGGTGTGCGAGCTTCGTCCAAAATTGCAACTTTTTACAACCGACCTCCCGCGGCTCCGGGAAAAAAAGATTTTCTACGTTGGTGAGCAGAGCACGCTCCCGCAGCTCCAGCTCAAAAAAACCACTAGGAGGCTCAGAGTCCCGAGTTGCTTCGGCCACGCGAGCTAGGACGGTCTTCACTGCCGTGCGGACAAGATATCTCAGAGCTGGAAACATTAAAGAGCTTCGCCGGCTTTTGCACAGAGTAGCCACGGCCTTTCAATTTCGCGCGTGCGAAGTTTTCAGGTCTTACGGCGGGGGCCAACGAGCGCGCACGCTCGAGTACGTCTTAGCTCAAAAAGCCAGACTCGGAGGCGCCTGGCGCAACTTGCGCGCACGAAAGTAATTTTCGGAAGGCGCGCCCTCGCGTAGCCAGATCGAAAACCACAGTTGTGAGAAGCAAAAGCAGCAAGCAAAATACACTTCCGTCTCTCCGGCTCGAGAATCGCAACTGTAAACGCCAAAGTAATGCGTCAAGCACACTTCAACTAAAGCCGCCAGGCTTCGTGCGCTGACGCAGGCAACAGGGGCTCACAAGAGGAACGGACATGAAAGACTGGCGCAGCCACGCGCGGCATCATGCGCAACATGATGCGCAGCATCATGCGCAGCAACAATTTACAGCGTCGTGCACAAGAGAAGTTAGCAGGAGAGATTGCGAAGCATGGCGCTAAGCTTACTCGCCGCAACTTGCACATTGACGCGTTTACAATTCGGTCGCTCACCAGAATGGGGAGGCGTCCGAGTTTATTTAACGTGTTCGTATGCCTCCGGGCCCCCCGCCGGCAAGTGCAGCCCAATGCTATTTGGGATCTCTTGCCGGCAGCTGTTGCCCGCGCCAGCAAAGGTGAAAGTGCCCCCCAAATCCTTCCTCGCCCACCTGGTCAATCTTGAGATGCCAAACGGCTCCATATGGGTTGTGGCATTGAGCGTCAAGCATCTACAGGTAATCGTGCGAACGGTATACGTTCTCACTTCCAGAAGCACGGCCGTCCACGCCGTCGCTAGGGCATTTGCAAAGCGCGCGCCCCTCTTGTTTTGCGAGAGCAACCTAATCATAGCGTTTTTGGGCAGGCCCAACCATTTCCTTCCAGGGCATTACGAACCATCAGTTAAGGCGCACCAAGAACCTTCATGACATTACCCCGTTTTGGCCCCTCATTTACTTGTTCAACGCTTTTTGCTGCCTTCAGTGGACATGGGGCTGGCGGGGCAACTTCGCTAGGCCGACCGGCTGCTCAGGAATGTGGAGGGTCCTGCAAAGCCCTTCCAACTAACACGCAACAACCAATAACCTTGACAGCTTCCATTGATCTGTTCACGCACTTCTTTCAGTCCAAGCAACGTAGTCTTGGCCTGGCATGGCCAAGCTGTTGGCGTTCCAGGCAGCCACCGCCTCATGCTCCAACTTCGCCTGACACAAATTAGGCTTTCTGAAAAGAATTTTACTTGAGCCAGTTTTGACACGTTACCGCTCTCTGCGCGAGATGGGCTGCAATGTCATTATAGCAATCGCTTTTCTGCCTACTTTCCTTTAGTGATTCCACCTGATTCGCGCCTAATTTTTTGAGATTCGCCCGAAGATTTCCTGCAGTCTTCCTGAGCCTTCCCGCGCCGTTCCGCACGTAGTCTCCCCGTTGTCTTGCTGTCCAGCAGTCTTCCCGTAGTCTTTGTGTTGAACGTCCTCCGTGCGCCAAGCGGCGCGTAGTTGCGGCTATCTGTTGGCTATTGTTTTTCGGTCAGGCCGACGATGCTTCCTGATCAAGGCCTTACCGCGGGCCTACCTGCTATTGCGCGTTGCCTTCAAGCCATTGCTTAGCATAGTTTTGAAGTCAAGGAACGCGCCCGACACTCTCTGTCTTCGCTTGTTTTGGCGGGCAAGATCATGCAGGTTCGGACCAAAAAACCCTTCTTTTCTCCTTTCAAGTGGCCGGTGGCCCTGCTTTGTTTTGTAAGCGACTCCGGCCAATGCTGGTATGTGCGCTTAATGCTTACTAGGCATCACTAGCTACCTCTTTGAGCCAAGCTGTTTAGCCTCAAGACGGTAGCGTGCAAGCCCAAGCGCAAAGCCGCTCAAAGGCAGGATCCCGGGCATGGTCGGTGCAAGATGAAAACGCGCACACCTAAACGCAACGTCGTTCAGAGGCAGGCTCGTTGACTTGAGGCGCAGCCTCGCCAAGAGAATAGAGCGCGCTCCACAAACTCACAGGCAGGCCGGTTGGCATGAGGCTTGGTTTGCTACCCAAGATGAACAGGGCCTGTGGCCTTTTGCGGCTATGTTGTCCTACAAACTCAGCTCCAGGCACCCGCAGCGCCGTTTATCATCAGGAAGACTTTCGAAGCCGACAGGATGTGTGCGCTGCGAGATTGTTACACACAACCTGCAGCCAGTCAGCCCCAGTGTCAACTTTGATGTTGAGTGTCATTGAAAGAGACTGTGTTCTCTCAGAGTTCCCGAATGACCCCAGATCCTCAAAGGGCTGAACAACAACAAGTCTTCAAAAGAACGCCTGGGGCTGCTGCGGACAGTCTGTAATCAAGTGAGGTTTAGAATCGACTCTCCCTCTCCCATCTGGCGATGTTTTTTGGTGAAAGTAGTTCGCATTTTTTACGGGGGCCGGGCAGGAAGGTTTGAGTACGGGGTATGACTCGCAGGTATGATTCGCGGGTATGATTCGGGGGTATGATTCGCGGAAGCAGCAGCAGTAGCAGTAGTAGCAGTAGTCGTCGAAGTAGTAGTACTAGTAGTAATATTGTAGTAGTAACAATAGTAGTCGTAGTAGTAGTAGTCGTAGTAGTAGTAGTAGTAGTAGTAGTAGTAGTAGTAACAGTGGAAGCAGCGACTGTAGTGGCTCGGAAGTTTCGAAAAGACTTGGCGCTGGCCTTGGCAAGGCAGGTTCATTGCGCGGGTATGATTCGGGTATGATTCGCGAGTATGATTCGGCTAGGTGCAAAACGGCACTGATTACAAACTCAGAATGATGAATGTAGTATTACTATATTAGTAGTAGTTGTTGTTGTTGTTGCGCACGCTTTGACAAAGCTTGGCACAAGCCTTGGCAGGGGAAGCTCATTGTCCGGGTATGATTCGGGTATGATTCGCGGGTATGATTCGGCTAGGTGCAAGCTCATTGTCCGGGTATGATTCGGGTATGATTCGTGGGTATGATTCGGCTAGGTGCACAAGGCACTGATTACAGACTCAGAATGATGTATGTAGTAGTAGTGAGTAGTAGCAGCGGCAGCAGCAACAGCAGCAGCAGGAATAGTAGTAGTAGAAGTAGTAGTAGTAGAAGTAGTAGTAGTAGTAGTAGTAGTAGTAGTAGTAGTAGTAGTAGTAGTAGTAGTAGTACTGGTAGTAGTAGCAGTAAAAAAGGTTGTAGTCGTAGTAGTGGTAGTAGTAGTAGTAGTAGAAGTAGTAGTAATAAAGGTAGTAGTCGTAGTAGTAGTAGTAGTAGTAGGAGTTAGTAGTAAGGGTAGCAGAAGCAGAAGTAGAAGCAGTAGAGTAGTAGTAGCAGTGGTAGTAGCGGTGGTAGTGGTAGTAATAGTCGTAGTCACGGTAGTAGCAGTAGTAGTAGTAGTGGTAGTAGCAGTAGTAGTAGTAATTGGAGTAGTAGTAGTAGTAGTAGTAGTAGTAGTAGTAGTACTAGTAGTAGTAGTAGTAGTAGCAGCAGTATTAGTAGAAGTAGTAGTAGTGCTGGTAGTGGTAATATTGGGTAGCGCTGGTGGTGGTTGTTGTGAACAGTAGCATCTTGCAGCATACGTTTTAAGGGGTGTGATTCGGGGGTATGATTCGGGGAGGTCCCACCTTCTGCGTTCTGACGCAACTCAGCACTCCAAAAAAGGACAAACCCGTACGTCATGGGACTCCTTGTTACGCGCTTGACAGGTCAGTAGCGTTGAAACTTGCAACTATTCAAAGCAAGCCGCGCGACAGCAAACTGGCCTAGGCTGGGGTTGCAAGCAATGTTGCGAGGTGTGTAATGGGGCACCACGCAAACCGCCCTCCGCAGTTCCAGATTGACATTTACAAATTCAACGCAAGCCAAGTGACGCAAGAAGCCCTCCCAGTTCCAGCCTGAAATTTGCATACTCAACGCAAGCCAAGCAACAGCAAAAAGGCGGATTCTGGTTCGTCCCCGGGGCGCCAAGGCCGCCTCCCAGCTTGAAATTTGCAAATTCAACGCAAGCCAAGCAACACTGGGGTTGGGCATGTGACCAGGTAAGTAACGGCTACTGCGGCAAAGTGTGTAGCGGAGCACCGCAAAGTGCAGCACGCAGAGCTCACCTCCGCAGTTCCAAGTTGAAATTTGCGATTGCCAGGGGAGCTCCGTCGCATGTTTCTTACGCCTTATGAGCAAGGAAGGCCTTCGCTGATAACTCACAACTTGAAATTGCACGAGTTCCCACGGCCTCTTTTTTCACCGAGCAGTATCAGCCTCGAGTTTCGCACGCTAATCAGCGCAAGTGGCCGAGGGCGCTGGGGGGTGGCCTGGGCTCGTGTCTGGTCTGCTACGAGGTACGCGGCGTCTACGTGCAAAACGCACTACACAAAGCACACCTCGTCCCCAGCTTGTTTGCAACTAGTCAGCGCAAATCAAGCGACAGCAGCAAAGATACCTTGCCTTGGCTCAAGTCGCGTCAACGACGGGTGACGAGATGTGTGATAGGGCACAGCAGTGCAGCGCACTGACTGGGAATCCCACAGAAAGAGTTTCTTTCTTCTGGCCCCTGACCAACTTTTGTGAGTGGCACGCTCTCTCCGAGTTGACTCTCCAGCGAACGCATGGTCTGCAAAAGCCTGCTCAGCACCCATGGGAACTAAGCATCCGCGTGGGGTTTTGTTCGTCTGAGGTGTCTAACGAAGGTGTGTGCCGAGGGTTTTGTCAGTGTAACGAGCGAGGTCTTGCTGCTGGGGCCGGCGACAAGGTCTGCAACGAATGTCCGCCACAGCCCTGTCACAGACCCCTCAAATAGTCACTGCCAGAAAGAGCATGCCAGCGGCTGCCAACGCGCAACGCGGAACAAACTTTCAATTTCTCGCAGCTTTGCGTCAGCCAGCGAAAGAAACCGAGCCGCGCGCTCTGGCTGAAGCCTCTGCAGACTTCCGGGGGGCAAGCGTCAAAATTCACTGTTTGGCGTTGCCGGTGGCGCGCGCCAATTGACAATTTCTCGGCCTGGCTGAGGGCCCAGCCAGCTCGAGCGAAGTGACGAGCTAGCTAATGCTCTAAATAGCCAGCCACCGAATCGAACCAGCTCATATGCAAAAATAGCCAACTAGCCAAGCAACGCGCGCACTAGCTACCTGAGCTAACAAGACAAATTCGGTCTTGCTGGCCAAGTAGCTCGGCAATTAGGTTGCTACCAGGAAACTGGCTAGCTGACTCTCGCGCAGTCTTACCTGGCTAGCTTCTTAAGCTATCCGAAGGGCCACAATTCCAGTTTGAACCTTTTCCCCAAGTTTGACACGGCAAATGTTCCATCGCAGCCTGCGCCGTGAAGTTGCGCAGCTGGGCGTATGACTTGGAGCGCCCAGCAAAGCCCACCTTGGCTTCAAGCTGCGGGGTCGCAAAGAAGCGAAGTTTGAGGGTCAAACGACAACATTCTCAGAATCCCCATTTGCAGACACCCCATCCCTCAGAACAAGCGCCTGGATTGGATGGATTGCGACACACAGCCACATTGCGAAGCACCCAAGGCTGATGAAGGCTGGGGCTTGCGGCAAGCGATCGGCCCCAACCGTTTTCTTTTCAACACATGGGGGTATAGCTTTTACTTTCTTGGCCAAGGTCTTGCGCGCTCATCAATGGACGGACCCTGTGACCTTGCCTTTCGAGCTATAGCACGCGCGTTTTACTAATGTCGACTTCGCATTAGTAAAGGGGCTCCCCCCAATGAAAAACAAGTGTGCTTGTAGTATTGCTTCTAGTACCTGTAATACTTGTTGTGGTAGCTGTAGTACTTGCAGTAGTCCTTGTAGTCTGCTTCCTGCACTCGTAGCACTTGAAGTAGTAGCTCTAATACTTGTAGTAGTACTACCTTGTACTTGCAGCACTTGTAGTAGTGGCTGCAGTGTTCTGCTTCTAGTACTTCTAGTCCGACTTCTAGTAGTTGCAGTACTTGTAGTAGTACTTGTAGTAGTGCGTGTGGTAGTACTTGTAGTAGCGCTTGTAGTAGTACTTGTAGTAGCACTTGTAGTGCTCGTAGTTTTGGTTCCTTGCTTCATTTCAATCAGCTGCAAACCCAATGTTTCTGTTGCACCCCCCCTCTGTGCCAAACATGGTTCTTCCTACGGGTCGCCCTGTGGTGTTTATTAATTTGAACTCTTTTGCTAATTTGGGTTTGGGGAACTTGTGTGGGGCACCTACTTGCTTTTGAATCGTTTTGGGCTGGTTTGGTCCTTGTTGCAAGAGAAACTTGTTTGGCTTGCCCTTGCGTTTCGGGAAATTATTATTTTTTAATGAGAGTTAGTTTTTGGATGGTTTACTCATGTTGTGCTTTGGAGGGCCAACTTGGGGAGGCAGTGTTGTATGTTTGCAATTAACTATTGAACTAGCCCCTTATTACTTAAGTATTCGGCGAAAAAACGGGTCCGGTGGCCCAGAATTTTATCAGCACGGGCCGAAATGAAAAGCAGTTTGTTCAGGCAGGGGACCATTGGAGCATGCGCGCCAAACCGCTGGCAGATTAAGGCAGCGGCCCAGAAGGCGTGAGCGAAGAAGAAGGCAGGGCAAGCTTGGTCCGGCTCACAGCCAGCGTTTCCAGAGAACCTGGCCGGCGCAATACCTTGTCAACAAACACAGACAGACACGCGGCAAGATTACCCGCGCGCCGAGCCCACACGTGCACACATTTGCACACACACACACCCACACACACCAACACAGACCGAGACACAGGCACACAAGACACACAGAAACAGACAGGCAGGCAGGCAGGCAGGCAGGCAGGCAGGCAGGCAGGCAGACAGACAGACAGACAGACAGACACACAAAGAATACAGGAGCGCCAGACACTTGTCAAGCCAGAAGCGGGGGGGAGATGCAGAGGCCGACCGTGAACCGGGAAACCAAACTGCAAAGCCGGAAAATCAAGCAACCAGGCAACCGCGAACCGGCAAACGGCCCAGGAAACAGGGAACTGGGGGACTGGGAAGCTGGCTGGGGAACCGGGATGGGCAACCGGGCAAAGGAATCATGAGCCAGAAGCCAGGAGCTGAGAGACCGGGAAATGGGAAATCCGGGATTGAAAAAAATCGGAACAGAGCCGGGAAAGGTTGCGTCGCACGCTCTGCGGGCGCAGAGATGTGCGGAGGCCACATGTTTTCACAGGGCTCGCAGTCTCCAACATTAGCTGCTGAGTGCTGGCTGTTTCTCCATCTGGGCAAGCCTCGCTTGCTGGAGATTCACGGCGCAGTTTGGGGGTTGGCCTCCTATGTTCCTGTGTAACTTTGTGTTAGACTGCCTACATGTTTTCGATTCTCCTCGGTTGCTTGCGAGCTCAGCGCGGGCCGGCGCAGCAGTTTCGCCTTGAGCATGCTTACGAGAAAAAAACGGAGCACGCTTGCTGTGTATTTGGGGATCCCAGGGTTTCAGTTAGTCTGGTAAGTTGGCCGCCTCTTGGAATTCGGCATGCCAAGTTTGAACACGCACGCGTGCGGCCGCGCGTGTCAAAGCCGCGGTGTTCGCAAGATTCGCTCAAGTTGGGCTTGCGTCCCAAACAGTTTGGTGGCTGGAAGCAGCGGCGCCGGCGCCAGTGCCGGCAAAGAAATATTGGGGGTGTTATTGTCGGTTGCTCTACAAGGCATATACGGTACGTCTGTCCAACCCTACCTGCTGCTACGCTGCCAACTGCCATGCTTCCTTTGCTCATGCCCGTTTTCCTTCTCTTCCGCGCTCGTTCCTCTCCTACTCCTCCCGCCCTGCTTTCTTGTTTTCTGGCCTGCTCACGCTGCATGCTTGTATGCAATTTTGAGGCCCCAGCTAGAGCACGCAACTTCTGAGAAGACTGCCGCTTGGAATTTAACACGTATGCAAATGGGACGAGAGGTTTTGGCTTAGGCTTAGGCTGTTGCAAATGCTGTCTCCGATGCGCCATACTGCGCCATTTGGGTAATCTAGGAAGTTGATGTTTTTGATGCGCCCGCTCAGCGCTGCCAAAAGACAAACTGCATCCGGCCGGCGCCGGACGCCGCGCCTGCCAAGTGATAGGCGCACCCGTTCAACCCTACCGCTGCGCTGCCAGCTGCTACGCTTCTTTTGCTCGTGCCCGTTTTCCTTTTCTTCTGCGCTCGTTCCTCCCCTGCTTCACCACCTTCAAAACCATATAGACGCTGACCCATCACGTCATGTCCGGGCACGGCCCCACATACACCGCATTCTGGGCGATCGCCTCCGACGCACATCGATCGTCAAAGTGGTTCTTCCGCTCCAGCCTCTACGGCCCCTTCAATGTGGCTCTCCCACACCTCGTCCAGCGCCACCGCCAGCCCATACGGCGTCCATTCCGCGCAGCTCCTTGGTTTGCGGCTCCTCCCGTCAAGGCCCTTGATAGCACCGTCAGCTTCCGCTTGATGTGGCCCGTCGCACCTTGGTCAACCTCACCTGGATCACCTCCTTGCCGTAGCTCTTACAATCCTCAGACCCACGCCTTTCGGCCAACCAGCTCTCTGGCCAGGGCCGCTAAGATCCACATGCGCAGCATGAGGATGCCACCTTCTCCATCTCCATCGTGCGCAGCTCCTCATAGCCGAGTCCTCCCATGACCTTATCAAAAGTGTCCTCCTCCAGCAAGTTCTGGCTTGACAGGATGTCCACATGCGCTGCTGACATCGCCCCAGCCCCTTTTCCAGGCACTCTGGGAACAACATCCCAAACTCTTTCTTCACCTTCTCAATGTCCTGAAGCGGAAGGGAGACAACGATGCCTTGATTTACGCAGGTCATCATGGCGGGAGGAGGGCATCTGCTGCGTTGAGCACGCAAGCCGGGCCCCATTAGGTTGCGGCGGAGGTGGCTTTGATTGGCGGCAACATCAACAAAAGCCTGCGCAGTTGTGAATTTGTAGATGGTGTTCACCACGCTGAGCTGCCTGGTTGCCACCAGCTCCTGCTTGTTTGCAGGACCATGGCCACCCCCCAGTGCCTGGCACCGGAAGCTCAGGCTTGACGCGCGACCTCTCCAACCAAGCACCCTGCTGTCTTGTTTGCTGGCTTGCTCACGCTGCATGCTTTTATGCAATGTTGAGGCCCCAACCGGAGCACACAACTTCTACGAAGACCGCCGTTCGGAATTTCAGCGCATTTGCGAGTGGGATGAGAGCGTGAATCACCGGGCTTTTCTCCACCTCTGGCTAGGTTAGGTTCTTGAGTCTGGCTCCTCTGGCTAGGTTGAGCATTTCTGACTTTCTGTTGGGTCGCTTGCGCGTCAGATTCTCATGGCTTGCCTTGCGCAGCACACTCTCTTTACCGCTTCGATGGGTGTGTAGGTGTGCGTGGCTGTGTGCTGCGGTTGCGCTTGTTCCAGGAGCCTCGTGTGACTTGTGTACTCCCGCCCGCCCGCCCTGGTCGGTGGGGGTGGCTGTCCGCAGCCTGTGAACCGCGGCGGGTTTTTGGCTATTGTCATCAAAATTTGTTTGGGGAACAGATTGTAGGGGAACAGTTTGTCAAAGACTTTTTCATCTTGGGCCAGTTTTGCGCTTTTGACGTTTTTTGACGGATTCTGTCGGTTTTTGTCGGTATTTGTCGGTATTTGTCGGTTTTTGTCGGATTGTGTCGGATTTTGTCGGCAACTTGTCATTTTCAACGTTTGGCTTTCGTTCTTGTTCGTTCCTTTAGCTTAGTGCTTGCTGTTGTTGCTGTTGTTGCTGTTGTCAATTGTTAGTTGTGTGACGTTTGTTGCTGGTTGTTTATTGTTTGTTATGTGTTTGTTTGTTTGCTTGCTTGCTTGCTTGTTTGTTTGTTTGTTTGTTTGTTTGTTCGCTTGTTTGTGTTTGTCTGTTTGTTTGTTTGTTTGTTTGGTTGTTTGTTTGTTTTTTGTTTGTTTTTGTTTGTTTTTGTTTGTTTGTTTGTTTGTTTGTTTGTTTGTTTGTTTGTTTGTTTGTTTGTTTTGGTTGCTTGGTTGGTTGGTTGGTTGGTTGGTTGATTTGTTTGATTGATTGATTGGTTGATTGATTGATGGACTGATTCATTGATTGATTGACTGACTGACTGTTTGAGTCATTCATTCACTCACTCATTCATTCATTCATTCATTCATTCATTCATTCATTCATGCATTCTTTCATTCATTCAGTCAGTCAGTCAGTCAGTGAGTCATGCATTCATTCATTTCAATCATTGAATTCATTCAGTCATTCATCCATCCATCCATTTATCCATGCATCCATTCGTTCACTCATTCATTCATTCATTCCTTCCTTCCTTACATTCATTCATTCCATTCCATTCATTCAATCTTTCACTCATTCACTCATTCATTCATTCATTCATTCATTCATTCATTCATTCATGCATTCATTCATTCATTCATTCATTCATTCATTCATTCATTCATGATATTTCATTCCATTCCATTCCATTCCACTCCACTCCACTCCACTCCACTCCACTCCATTCCATTCCATTCCATTCCATTCCATTCATTCATTCATTCAGTTCCATTCCATTCCATTTCATTCCATTCCATTCCACTCCATTCCATTCCAATCTTTCATCATGAGGCAAAATTTGCAGCGATGCTTTGGAAGAGAAATGATGCAACATTTGCAGCGATGCTTTGGAAGAGACATGAGGCAAAATTTGCACCGATGCTTTGGAAGAGAAATGAGGCAAAATTTGCAGCGACGCTTTGGAAGAGAAATGAGGCAACATATGCAGCGATGCTTTGGAAGAGAAATGAGGCAAAATTTGCAGCGATGCTTTGGAAGAGAAACGAGGCAGCAATTTGCAGCGATGCTTTGGAAGAGACATGAGGCAAAATTTGCAGCGATGCTTTGGGAGAGAAATGAGGCAAAATTTGCAGCGATGCATTGGAAGAGAAATGAGGCAAACTTTGCAGCGATGCTTTGGAAGAGACATGAGGCAAAATTTGCAGCGATGCTTTGGAAGAGACATGAGGCAAAATTTGCACCGATGCTTTGGAAGAGAAACGAGGCAAAATTTGCACCGATGCTTTGGAAGAGAAATGAGGCAAAATTTGCACCGATGCTTTGGAAGAGAATTGAGGCAAAACTTGCAGCGATGCTTTGGAAGAGAAATGAGGCAAAATATGCAGCGATGCTTTGGAAGAGAAATGAGGCAACATTTGCAGCGATGCTTTGGAAGAGACATGAGGCAAAATTTGCACCGATGCTTTGGAAGAGAAATGAGGCAAAATTTGCAGCGATGCTTTGGAAGAGAAATGAGGCAAACGTTGCAGCGATGCTTTGCAAGAGAATTGAGGCAAATTTGCAGCGATGCTTTGGAAGAGAATTGAGGCAAAATGTGCAGCGATGCTTTGGAAGAGAAACGAGGCAAAATTTGCAGCGATGCTTTGGAAGAGAAATGAGGCAACATTTGCAGCGATGCTTTGGAAGAGACATGAGGCAAACTTTGCAGCGATGCTTTGGAAGAGAAATGAGGCAAAATTTGCACCGATGCTTTGGAAGAGAATTGAGGCAAAATTTGCAGCGATGCTTTGGGAGAGAAATGAGGCAAAATTTGCAGCGATGCGTTGGGAGAGAAACGAGGCAGCAATTTGCAGCGATGCTTTGGAAGAGACATGAGGCAAAAT